TCTCTCTTTNTTCTATCTCTCTCCACCCCTCTTCATGCCATGGTGTATCGTTGGGGCTGTCAGCAGTGACTGGTCGGGTTGGGCCGGCCTGTGACTGATTTGACCAGTCGTCAGATGGCTGGTCTATTGTCAATGAGCCAATCGATTTTGTATTAAACTAAATCTCAAAGGGCTGGTTGTGTTGAACCGCCCAAGTGGATTGATTCTTGGACCGACCTGCGATCCTGCCAATTTGGACACATGCACGCATGTTGACATACACTCACATCGTTGCAAGAGCTTTTCACACGCTCAGCATGATGAAAATATTCTTTCAAAGCTCTGCTGGGCTCCCAGATCGGACACCAGGGACGTGGCGTGGACATGGCTACACCAGTGGCACTAAGCCTCTGACTCGCCCCCGTCTCGTACTGGCGCCGGTGGTCGCCGCTGCTCCATGTCCAAGCACAAACTGTAATGTAGATAGGCAATGCCACACAACTAAGGAAGCGGGGCGGATGAGCATAGCATCAAACATCGCGCATGTTGAAGTCGGTCTTCAAGACAACAAGAATACACCAGCCCACCCTCACGACATCACTTACCACCAGGCTTCCCAGGAAGGTTAGTCCAGCCGCACGCACGTACTCGGGGTGCATGTTAAAGCCCTGACGAGTACGAAGCAGGGCTCATGGTGAGCAGGCACGTCACAATGCATACGGATTTGCCCGAGATCACAGGAACCCACCGCTTTGACACCGAGCAACTCATGCTTCATCAGTGTCATGCCCGCCTGGTTGAGTGCAACACGCCATGCAAGCCGTAAGCCCCACAGGAAACATCGTGGCTAGCCATTTCATCAACCGCTGCTGAGAGCAGTGAGAAAGGTTGGCTTGGAAAGTCACGTACAATCACAAAGGGGAGAGCAAGGATGTCGCTGACACCCCGCACAAAGGCTTGCGTGAAGAGAAGAGGCGTGCACGAGTCCCGCACTGCCACGTACTCCTCGTGGGAGCGCTTGGCGACGAGTTGCCGGTGATAAGGGCGAAAAGCCCAGAGCAGGCTCCGGCCGAGGAATGTGGTGCCCAGGTTATGAATCAGCGCGCTTCCCAGCAATAACAGAGCGCTTTCTCTACCCCCGTGCCAGTCCCAGCAAGGCAGCCAGGTGCAAGTGTGTGGATGATAAGCACGGCAGCACACGAGGTGGTGGGACCGGGGCAACAGGCCAGATGCCAAATGCTTGACGTACTCGTGCTGCTGCAAAAAAACAAGTGGATCTTGCTGCCACGGCCAGATGTGGGTGCCAACTATGCCCAGCGTGCGCTGAACGACACCACGGTAAGACATCATGCATGTATGCGGTAAGACCTGGCCCATCAGAGGAGGGTGGGGGATTGACGTAGGGTGAAGTGGTCTTACGCCAAGGATGCCGTGGACCAGAGCGAAGCGCACGGGAAAGGCGAGGAGGGTGGCACAGGTGACTGAGGTGGCAATATAGAGACCGTTGATGACATAGCTCTTGTAGCGGTGGCGCAGTGGATTCTGCCAATACCCGGCCCCAGTCACTGATCAGCGGGGCCCGCGCGCCGAAACCAAGAGCAGTGTTGTGCGGAACGAGCGGAACGAGCGGAACGAGCGGAACGAGCGGAACGAGACGAGCACCGCACCAAGACGCGTTGCATAACACCAATGCCCAGATGGAAAGCAGCCTCTTCCAAAATGGCATTGACCGTAAAGAGCGGTGCCTGCACAAAAATCAGATCGCCCCACAGGCATCCACGGTCAAGCTACCCCAAGGCGGCGCGCCCGGACTCTCGACAAAGAGAGCGCCTTCACACCAGCAAATGACGAGACCAAACTCCATCCACATACCCATGCAATGCACTCGGTCCATGACAGACGGAGGGCGCTACATGAACCAAGGATAGCCACGCGAATCGGAGGCAGCAGAGCAATTTCCAAGCCGACGGCCAAGGTGCCGAAGATGGCCGACACGTAGCCATGTAACACGCCTGCTCACAACACGAGATGCATGTGAACCCGTGAGTCGCTGTCTACCTGCACGCCAGGGAGCTGGAAGACATGCGAGCAGACTGACCGAGATTGGTGGCCACGAGGCGCCGTTCGCGATTGATCGAGTCGATGATGCTTTGGATGGCGCTGGATTGCTGCGCCTCGTCGGCTGGCGCCGGTACTCGACCGGCAAAATAAGCAAAAAAGTCGAGCATGACCAATGGTGGTCACGTCCAGACGACCCGAGGCAAGGCTTCAATGAGGCAAGACTCGAAGAGGCTGGGGTGCCCCGGCGCGCGAGCAAGGTAGTGAACACTGCCTCACGCCCCCACCTGCCAAAAACCAGACCACATCAATCAAACTCGTCAGCCCTCGGCGCACACTCAGACCAAACCAGCCCCTCTGCTGCACAATGACACGGGCTACTGGGTACAAGACCACTGCCCCATCAGCTGCAAAGAAGTTGATCTCCCCACCCCTTGACACCCTGAAGGCTCCACCACCACCCTCGAGATGGCGGATGGCGCTGCCCTCGACAGCTCGCCCGCTCTCTCTCTCTCTCTCTCTCTCTCTCTCTCTCTCTCTCTCTCTCTTACCTTTGTGATGATACCAAAAGAGACAGACACAGAGGATGTAAGATTGATAGAGAGATGGAGAGGAATGGAAAAGGTTTCAGAGAGGACACAGGGAGAGAGAGAAATTGAGAGAATACACTTTCAGATTAATAAGGATAGAGGGCAAAAAGAGGTAAAACCAGAGAAACAGGACTGAAAATGACAAAGAAGAGATGTACAGGGATAGTAGTATCCATACAGAGATCACCATACCAAACAGGTCCAAGTGAGAGAAGCATCATCCAGATGTTATTGCACTACTTTTACCAGTTATTGTCGGTCTGATATATTTTAGACGGATATCATTATGTAATGCTATACAGTTATTGCAGAAGATTTCAAGTTTTACGTATCTGCATATTTCCGATTTGACCGTTACAAAAAAAAAGACTGAAAACGACCCGGTCGCGCGCGTGTGTGTGTGTGTGTGTCGGTGTTGGTGTCGTCGGTGCGTCGGTGCGTCGGTGACTTTGTGGACCGGATGACCGGTACACGGGGTTCCGGCTTGCTGGCAGCTTTGATGGAGCGGATTGGCGGACACGTAGGTGGAGGGGCCGACTGGGTTTGGGTTGTTTTGGTCCTTGTTTACCCGTGCTAGTCCCCTCTCAATGAGTCAGCTTGTGCTTCTCGTGGCAGACTTGCTTCCAGGGTCTCAAATCACGGTCGGGGCAACAAGACGGATCGACCACCTTGCAACCAAACTGGACAATAAAAAGGACAGGCACGCTCCAGCCTCGAGAAAACCGTGAGATAAATCTCAAGACCCAACATACAACCCAAAACGCCGCCCCGCAGGAACGCAACCGCACACGCTCCTCGAGAAGGGCCACAAACAGGACTGGTGCAGGCCGTGGGCCGTGTATCGCTCAAAATGTCCAAGGCCCCTGTCCCTGAGCCCATAGAGGCGATTCAGCTCGATTCAGACAATGACCAATCCCCGCGCTCCCCCTCTGTCTCTTCCGAATCCGAATCCGCTTCGACATCCCCATCGTTTGCCGAAGGCCGGGCCCGCGTCCTTGAAGCCGACCGCAAACAGTTTTATGACACCTTTGGCCGTACGTCCTTTCCCCTTTTCCCCCCCCCAAAAAAAAACAAAAAAATTGAGCTGCCCCAATTCTGCTCAAGTCCCATCCTAACCCATCCTCATTGCCGCCAAAAATGCAGGCGCTCTGGGCTATGCCACCATCCGCTCGGCCTTTCGACATCAGCGAGGGGCCCCGTTTTTGCTGCGCAACCTGCGATATCACAACACCTTGATTGAGCCCGAGCTTGCCTCCTTTGCAAAGTCTTCCCGACGTGAGGCCACAACGTATGTTATTTGGACTTTTGTAGCCGCCCAACGCCTGAAAACTTGCTCCACCAGGCATGCTCGAGCTCATGATAATGTATCCCTCTCTGCCGCGCTGCCATCTCGCAGCCAACGATTGGCCCGCAGCTTTGACTTTCGCCAGCTTCTCAGAAAAACTCAACAGCGTCAGGGCACCGATACCCCTGCCCTACCGTATGTTAACCCTTACTCAGTCTGCCTCTTGAAACGACCTTTGAATCAAAGTCATAGCCCCACTGTTCCAATGTCCATGTTCACACGCCTATCCCAACCAGACCCCATGCTCTACCCTCTTGAGTCGCCACAGCCTGAGCTTACCATGTGGCTTTCGCCCCATCCAGATCTCGACAGCGCCAGGCTGCGTCAGCACCGGGTCCTGACGCTTGCCAATATGATTTCGGGAGCTGCGACCATATTGAACTCACCCTGGCGTACGGCCGCCACCGCCAACTCGGCCATACACAGGTATGTATGCACCGGACACCCATTTAGCCGCGGTCACACACCCCATCAACCTCATTCGCTATTATGTGCGGCAAACAGATGGTCAAAAATGGCAAATGCCCCTTCTGCGGTCGTCGTATTCCTGGCACGCCAAACTTTCTGCTTCATCTGCGCCACGTTCACGACGAATTTGTCACCACCCTCGCAGTGGGTGTCTCGCCCTGCTTGTTTGCCCATCTCCGCCGCGTCCCCGTTTGACTCCCTCTTCTTGGACCCTATCTTTGACCCTAGGCTGTACGAACTGATGGCACCGTTCATCTTGTTGTCGCTGCCCGCGACGAGTGGACGCGCCCCATTGCCCGCGTCAAGCCTATCCCCTTCACTGGACTGCTACCTGCGGAAAAGGTGAGCCCTTTGATCGACCCAACCTGACCGCCGCCCCGGAGTCTCCCACCTTGCCGCCAACACCGTGGTTTGCGGTGAACATTAGGCCAAGCTGGCACAGTTGCGCCAGGCAGTGACCACAACGGAGCTACGCTTGTTCGAGTTTGGCTTTGTTGCCGACTCCCGTGCCGGCGAAGGTCGGGTCCCTGCCCGCGTAGCAAAGCTTGAAAAACAACTAGAAAACATGACTAGCACCATTGCCGACCTTGAAGCCCGGGGCCGGTGTTCGCAGCGCCCTCACTATGTCCACATGGTATGCGATGCCACACCCAATCGTCCTGCGTTGCCGTTGGCGTCTGAGCGTGCGTATGCGCGTTGCAACTCCTAAAATGTGTGTCGTACTGCAAAAATGAAAGGAATTTTACTATGCCCGTGGTGGCCACGAGCCACTTCAAAAAGCTGTCCAGGCTTTGGCTGCCGGTACGCAGACGCCCGGGTGCTCTCTTATCGACCCATAGACTGACCCTAACATCTGTTCCTTCAAAACTGCTGCGCAGCACCAAAGACATGCACCAGTGTACCACGCCGCAAGGGGAAGCGGCCCGTCTACCGTTGTCCCCATTTCACGGCCGCTGTCAGTGACGAGTTGGACCATGATTCGGATGACGATGATGAGGGCCCTTGGGCCGAGCTGGTGCAGCGTCAAAACTTTCGCGAGCTTGCAGATATCAACGTGTCGGAACGCACGTTTATGCAGCTCTGGAACGCTTTTCGGCGCCGCTCCGCGTACGTAGGCTTTGATGTTCTTGCCTGACGTTCTTCATACGTGGACCTGTCTGGCGACTTACCCGGCGCGTGCGCTACATCGCTGCAGGCATCGACCCGAGACCCGAGCCTTGTTGGACGGACGAGACCAGGGTGTGGCAGCAGCTTGTGTAGCTTTCGTCAACGACTACAAACTACTTTTGTCGTACGTGTGTGCAATCCTGCCGTACTTGCCTCACTATCGAACGACGTCTCCGACACTTTCTGTCAAACCCTTGATCTCGTTCTCTCAGACTCGCTCTGACTTATTTTCTATCCCTGAATTGCTCAGAAGTACCGGGCTGGCTCGCCAATGTCAGCTGCACATGACAATGCTGTGGCGCTTGGGCTTACTTCCCGAGCCCGTGCTCCAGGAACTCATGTCTCGCCTGGCGGGCGCCCCCTCGCACGCTAAACCCGTGCCACTTGCCAACCCAGAGGTGGCGGTGCACGGTGCCATGAGCGAGACTCGGTCACGCCAAGAGGCATTGGTGATGTCAGTTGCGTCACCCTCCAAGGCGGCCAAGCGTAGCACAGATGAACCACTTGCCGACGTGGTGCAATGACAATCAATTGACTTGAAAGCTAATTTCACTGCATTCAGATACTCAAATCTCTGAGCTCACTCAAGGTTGCCGCCGAGTGTGTGTGTGTGTGTGTGTGTGTGTGTGTGTGTGGAACTATGGGAAGGCAGTCTGAGCTGTGACGGTGAAAAAGTTGACCCCTCATGAAAAGAACGAGGGAAAAGACACTCAAATTTTTGGCAAATCCATAGGAATGACGATTTCCGTTAACTTACACGTTATTGGTTCATGGTCTTGCTGCATCCGTGGAGAAGTAATCTTCACGACAACAGCGTCAAAAATTCGGCAAAAATTCTAGGCTGGTACAGAGCTCAGGCTGAGGCACATGGCTGCCTGGACGGCAGAGCAAGACCTGAAACACCGACTGCCATTTTATTCGCCTCCAAGAACACTGAACAACATCTTGTTTCAGTTAAGAGAAGGATGTATCGCTGGTTGTTCTGCAGTTTTGCTCGACCAACATGTGATGCGAGTGCGCAGGCCATCATAATACGGGACATGCTCGTAAGTATTAGTAGAAAGGCTGCTAGTCTCGAAGGCGAGTGGCCCGAGGCACACGGATGCGTAGTTTGCTCGGGATCGAAACAATATCGCTTCCCTTGCATGTTTGCTCACAAGCACATCGAAACGCAAATTCGACCAAGGCTGTGACATCATTAGTGAGTGCCCAAATGACAAAATGATCCTAATTGGCACTACATGCCTCACAAAGACTAGATTCTTCCCTAGCAGGGATGTACAGTAACAAAAAAAAGTCGCGAGTTGATGAATCTGTCATTCCGGGCTTCTTGCCACTACTCGTCACTGACACAAAAAAATACTTCCGAGTCACCGCTCTACGGGTGCACGCGAGTGGGAGTGGCGGTGTAGTGTTCGCGCCACTTGAAAAGATCAAGCTCAACAGCCTCCAGCTCTTTTTGATGACCGCCTGCGCTGCAGGTCTGGCCGTGCTCGTCAACATCATCGCGCAAACAAGTCCGCCAATACTGGTACAAACGAGTGTATCCAAACTGATCAAGCCACTGTTCTCAGTCACAGGCAAGCAACGGTAGCAAGGTGAGCTATGGCTATGGGCTTGCACATGTCCTTTGTGCCTAACAAACTTACATCGCCGGCAGATGCAAGTGCAGCCTCAACGTCGGCCAGCTTGTGATTCTTCCATCCCTCAAGAAGCGACTTGAAGCCAACGTGGTTGTTTTCTGCTACTGCAACAAGGTCGTGATCGATGGACTGGACCACGCGGTCACGATCGATATTCAACTGTCGATCAAGCCCTGCTCAGCAAAAAGGAGAAGGTCAGACACCGCCTGGTTGCGATGTACACGAGCGGGGCTGGCGGTGGCCAACACAAACGCGGGACTGTCCACTGAACAATTTGGAGGTCACGAACCAGACATTTGGATGAAATGCCAAAAAGCATTGATGCGAGTTTCCCGATTGACCAAATCCTCAAAGCGAATCACCTGTAGAGGCAAATTGCGATGCACGTTCTCCTTCTACAGCAACCGAGTGCAAGCAAACAGGCGGACAAATGAACGAGCATGAGTCTGCAATTGCAAGCCACTGGTCATCGACACAGACAGAGCCATTGCCAAAGAACCAAAAACAAAACAAAACAAAATGGCAGCCTGATGTGTACTGGGTACAGCATGAGCATAAAGGAAAAGCCTGCCAGCGCCGTTTCGCCGTCGACACACCAGCCAAAAGTTGAAAAAGTTGTTCCAGCGCATGGCAAAGGCACGTGGCCCAATGCTTTTGTTGGGACTATAGCTGAAAAGCGGCAAAAGCAGCAACAGATGATGTTGATGAGCCGGTAAAATTCCCAGCTTTGAGCTGAGCAGAGAGATGGGGCATGGGCCAAAAAAAAAAAAAAAAAAAAAAAAAAAAAAAAAAAAAAAAAAAAAAAAAAAAAACTTGTTCACCCAACTAACCGCATGAGTGCGAGATAGTTGTCAAGGGGGTTGCGTGTAGTCATGAGCAGCATGGTTCCAATGCCGGGGACGGAGAACTGTTGGGTTCGAAGCAGGCATGGCGTGCGTGACACCGGCACAAGCACAACGGGACCAGCCAGCGTGAACAGGTGAAGGCAGGTGGGCCATGCATTCTGATTGTGTTGGTATGGCCTTTGGGTGTGCAAGCTCATGTGAGTTGAGGACGCACCCTGTTTTTGCGAATCCACGGGTGATGTGTTTTGATGATGGCAATGTCTTCCATCTTGTTGGCGCGCACATCCTTGCAGAGATGTGTCTGACCACACGCACGGGCGTAAAAGCCCGAGGCACGGCGTGCTACCTACAGTATGGGGTGGCAGGTCATGAGCTGAACATGGGTGGACAGGGTGCGGCTCCCTTGCTGCGCTTGTGGGAAGAGCTTACGGGGTTGCTTTTGTTGCGGCCTTCAGAAAAGACTAGTTTCCCGAAAGCAGGTGATGAAGAAGGAAAAAGTGTCATGAGCTGGAGCTTCGTTTCAGGCGCTGGGGATGGCTAAGGGCCTTGTACTGACTTGACTCGGAGGCACGGCCCGTGATAATTTCGAGGATGCTGCGAGACCACGTGTTGCCCGAGCTTTTGGAAGGATGGTACACCGTTCGCCGGTCCGTCGTGAGAAAAGTACAATGCATCGACAAGTACGACGCATCGACAAGTTCGACGCATTGGCGCGTGTCGGCCTGCAGAGGGCAGACGAGCAAGCAAGGGGAGGGCAGCTGGGGAACGGGTCTGACCGAGGGACGGTGGGAAAGACAATTTTCTCCGATTGAATCGTTTCGACGCGACAGAAGCACTCCTTGCCGCAAAAAGGAGGAATTCTGTACCGAAGCAGCGAGGCGAGATGAGGAGGCGCATGAAGAAGGCGACCGCAGCAGGCAGTGCGAGGACACACAGGTCGAGGTAGGTGTGGTCCGCTTGCACCTTGACGCCATACCCGCAGCCCACGTCACGATACTGACAGCGCTGGCCGGCGGGGCAGGTCTGCATGCCCAGACCGACAGGGTAGAGTGAGGCACGCTGACGATGCAAAGACAGGTGCTCGGTCTCAATCACGGCTCAGGTTTGCCACGCACCTGCACCTCAGCCGCCTGAACACGCAGCGACCCCAGCAACAACCCCACCACCACCGCACCGACCCAGCCATCTGCCGACGCCCGCATTCTCACCCGTCGTCTTCAACACTCGTCCCCACCACCCCCCTCACTCGTCCTCGCGCTGCCCTGTGTGTGTGTGTGTGTGTGTGTGTGTGACTACAAGAGAGAGAGAGAGAGAACTGCATGCACGCACGTTTGGATAACTGTAACAATGCGCACACTTCCACATCCCGGTTCGACGTCTTCCAGTAAAAAAGTCTTACATGTAGTAACTTTGTATGCATCTCTTCTTTTTCTTTCTGTGTCTCTCTTCGCGTTCTCCTCTTTCTGCGTGGCTCTGTCTCTGTTTCTGTGGCTCTGTCTTCTTCTCTCTCTGTCTCTCTGTCTCCCTCTTCCTCTCTCTCTGTTTCTGTGTTTCATTTCTCTCTCTCTTTCTCTGTCTCTGTCTCTGTCTCTGTCTCTGTCTCTGTCTCTGTCTCTGTCTCTGTCTCTGTCTCTGTCTCTGTCTCTGTCTCTGTCTCTGTCTCTCTCTCTCTGTCTCTGTGTGTCGCATTTCCTGTCGAAAGGGCAGTGGGGGGCCCAAAGTGTCGAAGAGGTGCGTGTGTGTCCGTGTGGCTACTGGGGGGTGGGGCCTGTGGCGCCTGTGTACCTGTCGGCGTACCTCGAGTGTGCGTGAGGGTGCAAATGCACAGGTGTTTTCCCTCACACACGTTGGCGCACGTTTGCTGCTCGTCACACTCACAGCTCGCTCGCTCGGATGCGCGCTGGTGATGGATGATAGAGCGTGCAAGATGGCCGACGACGCAGGAAATACGGAACTCAAGTTCCGGAAGAAGAAGAAAAAGTCCAACACCCGCCAGCGCGAAAAGGTTTCCCTGGAAGAGCTTGTCAGTCATGATGCCGAAGAAGAGTACGTGCTGGCTGGGTCGTGCTGCCTGCGACCACTGCTGCAAATTTGACGTGGGCCGTCATCTCAACCTCGCGCCCCAGGACCAAACTGCAAGAGGCCCTGGAGGATCAGAAGATGCGGCGCCGCACCACCGGCATTGAGTACGTTGAACCACGGTCCCCACGGTCCTGGAACCTTGCCGCCTACCTCTTCAAGCCCTGACGAGCCAGAGCTCATTCCGGCCTGTGTTTGCTGTGCTCGCAGCGCCACCGGTGAAGTGCCCGATAAGACAAGCAACACAAAGACAGACAAGCCCGAGGTATAGCATCTATTCGTTTCATGTCTTTTGGGTCCTGAGTGTTTGATCTCACCCGCCCTCGACGTGCATCACGCCCACATGCATCTCAATGGTCCTTTTTGTTGCGCTTGCGCGATTGACGCTCTCGAGCAGGGATGGAGTTTGACGGCAGGCGGCCTCATGCCCAAAGGGCCCATCATCCAGGATCGCGACCGCGATCGGTGAGAGCTTTGGATCGCGCCCACGTTGGTCAATGTCACTCACTCGGCTGCTCCCGTCTCATCCAAATTTTTGTTTGCTCAGCGACAACGAGGATGCGCGCATCATGAAGGGCATCGATGCCACCTTCTCCTCTGGCACGGGACAACGTGACCAAGACGCTGAAATGTGCGTGGCTCCGTTGTTGCCCTGCGCCTCCGTCAACCATTCCTCAAAGCCACGTCCCCCCTCACCTCCTTTTCGACGCGCTTCTTCACCACCCCTGCCCCGCTGGTTGCCAGGCTGAAATATATTGAGGATCGGTTGCAAGAGGAGCGCGGTGAGGCGCAAGACACCAACAGCGCAGCTTCAGAGTATGAGCGACGCATCAAGGAGCTATATGCGGTCCCCGAGGCTTTTCAGGTCGAGAAGCGCCCCGAAGTGGATGAAGATGCTGCCGTCGCCAATGCGGGCATGCTCTCCACCTCCCTCCTCTCTGGCATTCCGGAAGGTACCACCCTGATCCGTTCCTGCAGCAGCCAACCCTGTGGTTCCCTGTCGCCCCACTCGCGCAAACCCTCCGAAAAAAGACCATTGCTAACCCTCCGAGAAAAGACCATTGCTCTCGGCAAGATCATGGCTCAATCCTGTGCTGTGCCCCGACTCGGTGTAGTGGACCTTCAATCCCAGCAAGACTTACTCGAGGAAGACAACACCAAGGGTCGGCGCCGGGCAGGCAAACGTCAGCAGGAGGATAATACCCGCCGAGCTCGCCTGGCCAAAATGGGCAACCATGCCTACGCCTCGGAGCTCAACTACAGTAGTGCCCGCTGTACGTGGCCCCAGCCTCTACTCGCCTTGATGATTTTCGCTACTTGGCGCACCACGTCTTGCTTACCCTCTGCGATCGACACGGCTCTCGGGACCACCGTATGTGGTGTTGGTCTGTTTTTTTTTTTTTTTTTTTTTTTTTTGTTATAGTTCGACGAGCCATGGCCGTACCGCATTCGCGTCGGACGCGGCACTTCACGGCACCACCCCCCGATGCCGTCAAGGACAGCTCGCGGGCCTTTATGGCCGCCAAGCGCAAAGCGCTCATGAGCGGTATGTTGCGTGCTCACGCGCTCAGCGCCTGGCCGGAACAGCTTGAGCTGCTCGGCGTCAACACTTTTTCGTGGTTGTCGAAACAGTTTCCACCGCTACCTCATTTTGACCACATGTGTTGGCAGATGAGCCGCCTCAGTGAGCGAGCTTCGCTGTAATCATGCATCTCCCAAGAACCATCGTAGTTCATGCACTCACAAACCCCTGACCAGAATTGATGTTGTTGTTCGCAACCATCACAGTGTGGAAGCCCGTGAGGGATGATTTTCTCTTTTCTCCCACTTGCCGTCACCAGTATCACTCAATAGCTGAATTGGGAGTGTAGGCGACGCATCTGCGAACAAGACAACAACGCCGATGCGTTCTAATATAAAAGGAGGAGGTTACAAACCCCGGCCACAAGGGCCCATGCACGACACAACAAGATATAGAAATAACCCCGTCAAGGTGGGAGGCACCAACAAGACGCAGCTCGAGGTATCATCATCTCACGATTGGAGATGCGGGTGGGCCCCATTAGACCTGATCAATGAAGGAAACGAGGATGTAGCGCGTGCCAGCCGTCGTCTTGAGGCCTTCATGATAATGTGTCAGGCGGCCGGGGCTCAGCGTGCCCCAGCCCGGAGGCGCATCCTTGATGGTGCAGTTTTGACGCAAAAAGTGGGTGCCACCGCCCTGGTAGTCGACACCACCCTGATTCAACGCCACGTTCAGCGTCACGGTGCTCGCATCGTGGTGGGGTCGCAAGAAGCTCTGCTTGTCGGGGCGATAGCGCACCACAAAGTCGAGTGTCGTTCGTCCTACAGAGGGAGGGGGATGGGGGCGAAGGGGCAAGTAAAGAGTGAGGCCATCACACCCCGTATCAGAAATGCGGTTCCAGGGCTATTGGGAGCAAGGTCATGAAAGGCACAAACCTTGAATGTGGTAGCCCATGTAGTGGTGGTTTGCAACAGGCCCCAGATATGTGCGCAGGAAATGCTGCCAAGTATCCTTGAAACCAATCTGTTCGAAATGAATGTCTTGGGTGGGCACGGGTTCGTAGCCGCCCTTGAGACGATTGTCCGTGTGTTGTCCATTGCTCCACTCGCCGAGGTTCTCGCATTCCTCGATCATCTCGCGGGCAAAGCGAGCGCTCAGCGCCGGTACCCGATACACGTCTGTGCAATCTTCCATATCGCCGAGTTCGCGAAACTGGTTATATTCTTCGTGCAAGTACACGGCCTCCCATTCGGCAGGATTGTCCTGGGCCAGGTACATGTCAGGGTGCAGGTGTGAGGCATCATAGGCGTCCGTGTTGATCATGTGGCCAAAGCGGTGCTCGTTGGTAACACGCACGAGGCTACCAGCGTGGCGCAGGTGGGCAGCTAGGGCCGCCATGCCATAGAACCAGCCGGCTTCACCCTCGGCCAAGTCTTGGGCAGCCTCCTTCAACGTATCATGCACGCGCTCGCTCAAAACAACGGCACCAAAGACCACGGGTACGGTCCAGACACCCGTTTGATGGCGCTCGACGATCTCATAGTAATCAGGACTACGCATGTAGCCCAAACGATCAGCGTCAGCCAGAGCTTGAGCCGCTACAGCAGGAGCGAAACCCGAAGCCGAGCCCCAAAAGTTGCTCCAATACTACCAGGCGGGGAGGGAGGAGCAAAATCGTGTCAGGCATGGCGCATGCAAGCTTGATGGCTACATAGGGGCCTGCAGTGTACCTTGTTCTGGCGGACAAGCAGAGGGGCAATAACGTCGTAATCGGTGGCCATGAGATGGGAGAGAGCACTGCTGTTTGTAAGTCGGGCATGGCTGTGGATCAAGACAGTGCGCGGGAGGATCGTGGTCCAAGCTGCGTCGTTAGGGTTGGGCTGAAGTGCTGTGCGCACGCCTTCACCGAACGAGGCTGCCTCGAGAAGACGCATTGGGCCCCAGCGGGTGGCGGGAGCGGATTCGATGGCCGCCTGGCAGACGCGCTTGTAGGTGTGGGTCTTGGGGCCGGGCAGTAGAACCATGGACAAGGTCATCTGGTCTGAGGCTACGTCTTGCTGGAGGAGATCGTGCAGGACGAGCTCCACATAGGGGCTGGCCGGGTCGATAATGAAAATAACATGGGCGGGGGCACCGAGGGAGGCGGTGCGCCACTCATTGCAAGCCACACAGCCTTGACTGTCGCTCCAGACAAGAGGGATGTAATTGCCAATCTGATCGAGGGCGCGCTGTCCATCGGCCAGTCCGTGAATGAAGCACGGGAGGCTGCCTTGTTTTGCGTCAAGCACACGAAGGTCGTCCTCGTCCTCGTGAGGTTGGTAGTAGCGCAGGTCACCGTCGTACAGATTCACGTGCGTGGCGACTTGATGGAACAGGCCGCCATGCGCGTCCGTTGCACCTATTCCAGCCCCAGACGCGGGTTGTCACATCAGATTGATGCGCAGCCGCCAGGGATCTCGGAACGCAAGGGCAAGAACGTACTGTTGAGGGCGGCCCAAGTCATGGCCGAGGCCCAGGTGGTCGCATTGGCAGCCGCAAGGCTTGATTGGATCTGGTCGGCGTAACCGACGAGCGCAAAGCTGTCGCATGCTTGGTCGGAGCGAGCGCAAGGGGCTGCAAGCACGGATGCAGTTTGGCTCTGAAAGGTATGCAACACCTCAATAACATCTCCAGTCATGACAACATTGGCTCTTCGCGATCAGAAGACAAGGGCCCAAGACAGTCAAAAAGCAGCAACAACCACGAGACAACAAGGGGGGGGGAAACAGCGCAGGCAGAGGATGAGGTCGCGTGATGTACAGGAGGAGGCAAAAGGGTGAATATTTCTTCCCATGGGTGGCACGTACGGATCGGCGATCAAAACGAGCAAATCGCTCTTGGCAAAGGATTGAGCAACGAGAGCTGACATGTCCAAGGCTGCTTGGCCGAGGCAAGGGCGAGAGATGTTTGTTATCTCCACGCAGGACAGTGCCCGAGTGACGGATGCAAGGGATGCAGCAACAGGAATTCCATGAACGAGGGCTGCTCACCGTGGATGTGATCGCGGTCTACACCCTGCACGAGGCAGGAGCGAAGGAAGCGGTGCTCCGCCTCAGATTGCGCCATCGTAGGCACGACGATGTGAACGGTTGAGGCCAGTCCGCTACGTTGGCGGGGGCGAGAAGGGGAGCCAAGGGTGGCAGCATGCGCGTCAAGGCCTGGAGCTGAGGTAGAGGAAAAGACACGCAGCCAGGGTGAGGTCGATGCCGACGTCGCAGCAAGGGTAGGCTTGGCAGTTTAGGAAAAAAAAAAAAACATACCACGAGCTTGCATGGGGCGGCGAGGAGCTTGGCTGAGCAGGCGCTCAAAGCGGGCATCTAGGACTGGCTCGGCTTGGTAGCGAGCCTGAGCTGCAGCCTCACAACCGTGGCTGTTCAAGTGACAGGCGGCGGCGTTGGGTCCAGCAGGCAAGGTGGGATCAACGTTCATGGATGGGTCCTGTGCTTGAGCCAGGCAGACACCCAGACCCAAAAGGACTAGAAGCAAGAGAGGCCATGATGGGGATGGGAGAGTCATGTTGCAGAGTGTCAGGGGAGGGCCACGACGAGCCTGGGGCGGGCGTAGTGGTTCTCGTCAAGTGATGCAGCAGATGTGGCCGGCCAAGTGCCGAGGAAAATGCACGACGAGTCGAGTTGATGCGCGCTTGAATGGACCGGGCACGATGCTGCTGGAGGCAGTCACGGGGAGGGGCTTGTCGGTTTCTTCCGATGCCATGCATTGGTATGTGATCATTCGACCGCGGAGGTGGCGCTGATGTAATTCTGGGCGCTGGCGCTGAGGTCGATTTGGGAGCGCTGAGGCTTTGGCCCAACGTTGACTTGAACGGTTGTTCATGTCCGCTTGAGCCAGATAATGAGGGGGGGGGGGGGGGGGGGGGGGGGGAAAAACCCCCCTTTTTAAAAAGGCCCCGGGGGAAAAAAAAAAAAAAACCCCTGGGGGGTCCCCTTTCCCCCGGAAAAAAAAAAG